TTGAATAAAGTGTTTTTTTTATTAATCTCGATATTTGATAATTATATTAGATCTCGATTAATATGGAGTTGAATTATGTTGAACTTTATAAGAGGAAATTCTCCTAATACTTATTTTTTTATTTGCAAAACTTGAATTCAAAATTTTATTTAAGGGAAATCAAATTCCTTCAAATCATACTAATAGATCGTTAGTTGAATAAAGTGTTTATAGAGTAATACAAGAATGGTCCACAATTAACAACTTAAATGGTTTATTATTAGTGATAATTTTTTTAATTAAAATACAAGATTTTAAATTTAAATCGTATAATATACAAATAAAATAAATTAAACACAAAAAATTACTTTTTATTATATAACTTTTAAAAAAATATTTTAAATAATATCTCTTTTAAATAAAATAAAATTTTCTAATTTTAATCACACGACATAACATGTGGGCTATCATGCAACCTAAAATCCAAAAAAATAAAAAAATATTCATTTACCTGCCATTACAAACAATACAATTTGGGGCTGATTTGGTCAGATTTGTATGATCAATTGAAAAGTAACACGTTACAGGTGGGAGGCTACACGAGTGAAAATTCGAGCTAAGAAACGGGCCTAGAGTAGAGGACTTTTGAATAGGAGTGGCAATTTTTCCTAATCTCCACAGGATTATATGAGGATCCTCATCATGGGGATGGGACGGAACGAGATAGAAAAGAATATTTTTTTTTGTCAGCAAGGATGAGGAGCATTTTTTTCTTATGAAATTTTATGGGGAATTTTTCCCATCTCACGGGGTCCTGCAGGGATCCTCGTCCCTACAAAAATTAAAACAAATATAAATTAATTTTATTTTAAATTTAATTTAATTTTTAAATTTAAACTCAAATTCAAACCCAATTCAATCAAAATTAAATTTTACCCAATTTTAACCAATACAACCTAACCCAATCCATAAAGATTAACCCAATCCAACCCAATCCATAAAAATTAATCCACTCCATTCCCTTAAATACATTTAACCCTAACCTTAATTCATTTCTCAATTTTCATTTTCACCTTCCTCGGCTTTCCCTCTCCTTCTATTATGCGGCTCTGTCATCTGAATTCCCTCCATTCCATTGCCACCCTTCTACGATTCTGCCCTTGCCCTTCCCAATGCTCACCTTCTGCTGCCCCTTATTTTCTCCTTTGCACTGGCCGGACCATCTTAGATCCCATTCCCTCCACTACACTGTTGGTCTGTTGCTGACGAAGCCATCTGCCTGTTGTTGCCGAAGCCATCTGCCTGCTGTTGCCAAAGCCTGCTATTTGGATTGCCGAAGCCATATGCGGTTTTGCCCTTACGGCCTTGCCCTTCTCGGTACTGGTTTTCTTTATTTTTAGAATATTGATTTTTTTTTTATGTTGGTTTAATTATTTTATTTATGTTGGATTAATTTTTGCTTATGTTTTAGTTTAGCTTGGATTAATTTTTGTTTATAATTATTGGTTTAGTTATTTATGTTGAATTAATTTTTATTTATATTTGATTTTATATTTAAAAAATTTTAGTTAATTGTATTTGAATTTTTAGAATATTATTTATTATAATTGAATATTAATTAATTATATGT